CCCCTGGGCCTGGGGTAGGAAACGTGGGGTAAAGTATAACTGCAGGAGCCACATTTTCCCAAATTTCAGCATATCGATGAGGTCGGAGAAAAATAGGTCGGACAGCACTTTTTGGGATTTTGGAAAAATCGCCAGGGCGGAGAAAAATAGGTCGGACAATATAGCTGCACCGACCGCGAGTTTGACATGAGCAGCCAACAACTTGGAGATGACTCCCGTCAGCAGCAGAAATACCGCATCGTTGGCCTGCGATTCTCGTGTGTTGTCTAGGGGATGGGAGTGGGGAAGGAAATTTGAGATACCGCGATACCGGCGGCGACACCTCACCGCGCGGCTTATCAGTCAAGTGCGGAGAGCCTGGGGCGTGTGACGATGGTGACGGTCCGACGACGTCTGCGTCGTGCTCCTCCCTGCAGTCGCACTGCAAAGGCACGTCACGCGTGACGGGCCGTCACGCACGTGCGCGCGCGCGCGCGCGGTGTGTTGCACGGCGAGGATTGCAAAGTCTGCGCACCGACCACGCGCGTCGTCTGCTATGCGTCGTCTGCTCTACATGTCGTCACCCTGCACGCACAGACGGACGGACGGACGGAAAGACAGACAGACAGACAGACAGACAGACAGACAGACAGACAAGAGTGGTGCAGAGTGCAATAATTACAGCCAAAGAGACTCATGTTTGGGCAGAGAGTCGCCTCATCACTTTATTGAGTCGGTTATCATCATCACCACGGCTCTGCAGAGACCGCACGAGGACTCCTTCCTCTCCGCTGCCGCCACGGTCCCCGTCCTCCGTCGTTCGTCGGTCCCGCGGTATGACACTATGATGGATCGACTGACGCCCGCTGACGCCCGCTGACGCCGTGTTTGCCAAGGTTCACCGGAGTGTGTGTGCCGGGTTGATGACGCCGTCGTCGCCCCCGTAACACTGGAGCACTGGAGGAAGAGTCGGAAGCGGCTTTCGAACCCCGCGCAAATTCAAATTAAGTTAACCGTTTTTGCAAACCTAAGACAATGCGTCGGTCCTCCCGCGTCTGAGCGTGGGTGCAGGTCGCTGGGGCGCTAAATCTCTGTAGACAATAATGCCTAATACTCGGCGGTCCAGATACTTCGCAACTCCGATTCTGGCGGCCTCATCTCGTCACCTTGTCGAACGACCCCATGCGGAACGACACGTTTTGCCGGAGGGCGCCGAGGCGCTTGCCCAGGGCGACGAGCTCCTCCACGCCCCCCCGCTCGTACCACGGGTAGTACTGGTCCCACTCGAAGGCGTCGTCCTCGAACTCTTTGGCCATCGCCACGGATACGGCCGCCGTCCCCGCCAGGGAGGACTGGTCGCGGCCGTGCCTGGGCTCCACGGACCAGCCGCGCGCCTCGTACACCTCCTGGTCGCCGCCCACCAGGAAGTTGTAGGCGATGTCCTCGAAGCCCTTGGCGTCGATGGCGTCCGCCTGGAGCTCGCGCATCTGCGGGTGGAAAGGAGGCCAGTGATTGTGATTGCCGAGGCACATCCTAAAAGTAGCAAAAAAAAAGTAGCACGCATGATGACTGTTATACACACACTGTCGTGTGAACCATTTACTACAGACAATCCCTCAAGTGTTAAGATGTCAGGTGTCACACACTTCCTTTTGGTAGAGTTCTCACCAGTCTGGAGCACGTATCCTCATCGTCGCACACCGCATCGGTGTAGTGTCCCACGACCAGGCCGACGGGGAGCGCCAGGCAAGCGATGTGTCCCGCAGGTTCCCTCGCCCCCCACTCGGTCCTGGAGACGGGGAGGGAAGGGAGTGGGGCCTCCGTGCTCGGTCCAGGGCTGGGCGTCGGGCAGGGGTCCGGCCTGGGGCTTGGGGGCCTCGGGCTTGGGCTTGGGCTCGGGCTCGGGCTTGGGCTTGGGCTCGCGCTTGGGCTTGGACTTGGACTTGGGCTTGGGCTCGGGGTCGGGCTTGGACTTGGGCTTGGGCTCGGGGTCGGGCTTGGACTTGGGCTCGGGCTCGGGCTGGGGCTTGGGCTTGGACTTGGGCTTGGGCTCGGGGTTTGAGTCGAGTCCTCCACGATTGTTGAGGTGTCGTGCCCTAAAACACAAAGTTAAAGAGGACTGATTACTCAACCAACAGGCCTCACTATTCCCCGCGGCGGAACGTGCACGCAGTAGATAATAATGTTTCTACCGACGTTGACAGGATATTCGGGACGTTTAGATAACGATCTGTCGTTCTTTTCGTGCCCCCTCCCTGCTCCGTACTGTAACTCCCCGTTATCACACTTGCCTTCATCTTCAGGTGGTTGAGTGACGAAGACGACAGTGGTGCACAGGACTGTTACGAGAAGCAGAACCGCACAACCGATCGCCGCAATTCTCATCCGAGGCGCACCCGCACACGAATCTGCATCAAAAGCAGACAAAGGAAATGAAACTTCTGTCTGATGATAGCCAAGGCAAGGTGATTTTTCCTCTCGTACTTTTTACAAGTAGCCACCCGTGCGTCTTTGGGATGGCAGCAGCGCTCACGGAGCCGTCCTGTTGCTGCTGCTCGTCGGGGAGGTGCAAGTCCTGGACGCCAGACGGCGGCACGTTGGGGACGTGCAGGTCGTCGCCGGGCGCCGGCTGCAGGGCGGGGAGGTGCAGGTCCTGGACGATGGGCGGCAGCACGATGGCGGGGAGGTGTCGGTCGTGGTCGGCGGTCGCCAGGGCGGCGTGTCTGCCGTTCGCGTACGCCACCGTGACGTGGCTGCCAGGGGCCATGTGGATGTGCGTGGTGCCGATGTACACCTCCGAGGAGTTCTCCACCGCGATGTCCCCGAACGACATGGGCGTCGTCGCCAGGGCCTGGATGGGCCCGGCCTCGGACACCTCGCCGCCGCTGTCTGCGCTGCTGCTGCTCCAGGTGTCGTCGCTGTCCGCGGCCCCATCGCAGCGCTCGACGAGGCCGTCGCCGAGCAGCTGTCCGCGGAGGGCGAGGCTGCCGCCCGGCTCCGGTCGGAGCGGTGCGGACGGCGGGGGCAGCATGGCCACATTTTACGCAACAAGTTAGTCCGCCGCGTGGACACAACGGCGGTCGTGGTCCAGGTCAACAAAAGAACGCCAGCGATGACTAGGGTAACTCGACCCTCCTCGGCGGTCGGTGAGGGAGAAGGAAACTCGCCAACAGTGACGCGCGCGCACTCACACGATCGTCTCTGGGGGCAGCTTATCAGAACACTGCCGGCGACACGCCGCGGGCGCAGTGCGGCGCGGACCAGGGCTCCGCGCAGCGACTCTCGCGCCGGCAGTGATAAGGACGGTAGGGCTGTGCGATATCTCGATCTTTCTACATCGATACGATGTGTCCGATATCGAAATATCAAGGCTGCTTGATACTACAATATATCGCGATGTATCGCCCATTTTTAAACACATCGTTTCGCGATATGGTTCGATATTGCGATATCACTCGATATTATCGTGACTCGACTCATCGAGTCGATGTTCGATATTTGGTCGATATCGTATTGCGAAATCAAAATCTGGATATCGCACAGCCCAAGGTGACGGCGCCTGCAGCGCGGCGGGTGGGCCAGCCCGCCCAGCAGCCGTGCGCGGACGTCGGCCCGGCCCGCGCGCCCGAGTCGGCCGGGGGACCTTTTTCAGGTCTCCGGCCAGGGTATCCGAAAAGTCTGAAAAGTAACCTCCCGCCGCAGTGCGCCCAAGCGTTGGCCCAAAGCGACGAGCTTTTTGGGGCCGTCCCCCTCGTACCACGGGTACCACCAGTCCGTCAGCAGCCCCACGGTGATGGATACGTTTTCAAATAAGTGACCTCCACCTTTATGCCTGCCCTGCACGCACCAGCCGCGGCCCTCAAACACTTGACCGTCGTCGGTCAGCACGAAGTTGAAGGCGATATCCTCGAAGCCCCAGACGTCCATGTGCTTCGCCTGCATTTCGCGCACCTGACAAGGGGTTAGAGGGAGGAGGTGGTGAATGCCGCAGAATTTGACAAAGAAACGCGATAAAATCCGCAGAGTTAAGACCAATTTGTAGGATCCCATTCTATGTACTTACCACAATGGCACAGAGCCCCGGCTCGTTACCATCAGTACACATTTCTCTCTCTTCGTACCCAATGATCTGGTCGATGGGGAGCGGTAGGCAATCGATGTGTCGTGAAGGCTCCCTGGCATTCCAACTGCGTCTGGGGATCAAGAAATCGTCGACGGAGCCAATCGGTGCAGGGCAGCCGCAGGGGGTTGGGGTTG